CCCGACCGTTATCGTTGAACCCACCGAAATTTATTGAACCACGCTTCCTATGCCTCGCACAGAGATACGCGACTGAGAGAAATGGATCGGCGATCGTTATTAATTAATCTGTGCATTTATTTTCCTGTTTGTTAAATTATGCGCCTTGCACTGCGCGTTAACAGAAGGAGAGAATGCGAGTTTTTTATAGAAAGCTTAATAAAGAGAAATGTGTCTCGATGGACCGTGAGTTTAACCCTTAGATTGCCGTGCCAAATTTTGGTACATCGCATGGAGAGATATTATTGTGCCCGAAATAAAATTTAAAATGCAAATATGTACACTTTAATATTACTATTTCTTAAATATTAATAGTTATGAAATTTATTCACATTTCGCAACGTTAAATCTTTGCTTATTTAATTTCTAATTAATCAAAAATAATGTAAAACATAAAATTGGCAAAATGTTGCTATAATGATTTAATAAGTAAATTTATTGTTTGTATAATTTGTATAAATTGTTATTTTGATAAATGTGTGTGAATCGACGAATAATTTTTTTTACATAATTTATTATCTTTCTTATGTTGCTCGAAAGATTTAATGTACACGTATACGTGTGTAATACGGCGGTATATCCCACGAAACTTTAATAAAGTGTTGCGGAACATTTTCCCGTGATGACGGAAAAATACTACTTGATTTAATCGATAAAAGGATTGTTATGAAATGACGTCATTCACACAAATTTATTTCAATGAAAGAATTCGAAAACCGTTCGAATACTAGTATCCCGCGCGTCAATTTAAGGCTCGACATGTAAGAAATGTTTTTCGCAGAGAATAATATGTGGAATAATTTATCGCACACATTAAACTTTTTCATCTACACGCCGACATTTTTTTCTACTCGATATTCCCGAATCTATTAATCGAGACACAGATTCTTATGAATTATTCACTCGATCTGGTCGAAATATCCCGTCGTATCAACAGTCTCGCGTTAAATAGACCCCCGACATTTTTGTCTAAAATTGACAGTTGAACAAAAACTGGTAACCTTTCGTTCTCTGCTTGCAACAACGCGTTATTCACAACCACGTGTTTAACTGTAGACGACCGAGGGTCCAGGATATCGACGGGAAGAGGGGCGCGGCCGAGTCATTAAATCCTGGCTCGCGCGTATAACCCGGGCAGGACTAATCTACGTCCATTAAGCCTAATGGGAAAAGAACGGCGTGCATTCCGCGGGCCGCCTGTCAGGCGGTTCGACGAATCGCTGTCATCTGCATGTTGTCTGCAAGGAGCGCGCGCGCGCGTTCCCTTCGACGAAAAACGAGCGTCACACTGACTTTTCCGCCCGATACGTCCCCTCAACCCTTACCGGCCGAGCAAAAACCATCCCCCCTGGGACCGAAACCGGGTCATTAAACGGCCGTACATCATCCACGCGAGACGTATCTCACGGGCAGGGCGCCGAAGGGCGCGGGGCACCGGTCCCGCCTCGTCTCATTAGCCGCGAATATTTCGACTCCTATCGGGAGAGATACCCGCGTTTCAGGCTCTAATCTCCAAATAATCGCCAAACTTGCCTTTGTCTCAAAGATTATTCCATCCTCAATTTTTCTTTTAAGATTATCAATCTTTCTTCTCTCTCTTTCTGTTACCACAATAAGCAAAAGCGACTCTTTATCTTTAGAAACGCGTGTTACAGTCGATTTCGCGGCTCCTCAAAGAGTACCATCGATACCTGACTGATTCGTATTACCCGATTGAATTCGTTACATTAGGATGCACATGTCGTACGGAGATCCATCGAGAGATTCGAAGCGCGTGCCGACACATCACGGCGTGTCGTTGCACGAACACCGCACTTAATACGTAATACGTACGATCGGTTCGACGCGATGCCGGACATAGAAAGTCCCCTGTACAACAGGAGAAGAGGCCCCGCGCGATAACGTCGCCTTCTTATTGTTTACCCTATATGTCTCCGGAAGTGGGGCCAATCCGCCGGAAAGACGGGACCGTTAACCCGCACGCTCCCGAGACCTCGCGGCCGTGCATGCCAACGCTGCATTATTGGCTTTTTGTATGCTCATGTTAAGTGGTCGTCGCGCACGCTCGTGCATAATGCCGCGATCCTTTGCACCTCCGGGTTCCGATTCGAGCGACAGTTTCGGGCCCGGTGTGTTACCGAGATTCTCCGTCGCGAATACGTATTCCCTCGCGCGATATTCATTCGCGAGATTTACAATTGTTTTGCGACTTTAGTATTAAGATTCATTTTAAGAGTTGAGTAATCGACTCTTGCAATCTTTTTTTTTTGTAATAAAATGAAAATGAAAGTTGCAGATATCGTTATAATTAATAATAGCGAATTAAAAAGAAGGAGAAAATTAATTACACATGTTAAAAATACACGCTGTACGTATTCGACGAACATGCGTAATAATTCCTTGCTCGCTTTTAAGCTTGATATAAAATGCAGAGAAACAGAGAGAGAGAGAGAGAGAGAGAGAGAGAAAAAGAGAGGCGGGGAAGGAAGAGAGAGAGTTGTGCGTGACAAGAAGTTATGAGGAAAGAAAACCCCGGTGTACTAACTAGTACAAGATGGTGAAACGTAAAATGCACGGAAAGATTACAGGTAAAATATAGAAATAAAAAATACCGATTAAAATTAAAAATTAATTTTCATTTTTTCGCGAGAATAGGAATTTGAACAACATTTCATTCATTTAACAAGAAGATACATCGACGACAAATGATGACTCTCGAATGATGACATACTATTTTTTTAGTATTAATCTATCTTTTTTGCATAGATATCGCACATTGATAAAAGTAAAACTTTTTCGCTTTTACACGCTTACAAGTCGATAAACGCATTTATATATTCGCGAATCGAGAAAAAACCTTTATCATGCGTATTCATTTACTTCGAATGCTACAGAAATGCGAGAATGACATGTGTGTCCGCACAAAACATTCCGAAAAGAACTTTTGGCAGTAGCCAAAATAAGCGCGTGATTCCGTGAAAAATTAATTTATTCGAACGTAAAAAGGATAATTACACCTAGAAAAACATTCGGAACGTTTCGCTCGATAAGAAGCACAGGTATGAAATTTTCCTTCCAATCGCTCTCGATCTGACTAGCGCAGGTGCGCGATCACTTTACGGTTAATAGCGCGTAGAACTCGCGCGTGTATGCGTTTCCGGTGCGACGTGGGTTCGCGAATCCGGCGCGGTAGGTCCCCGCAAAGAGAGGCCCTCGATCTCCCAGCCGCGACTAGAGCGAATGGATGCTAAGCAAGCTGTATTACCCGATCGCTTCCTTGCATACAAAGCAACCATCACCGGAAGTGCGTCACGCACGACGGTATATAGATTCCACGCGTAGACCGCTGTTGTCAACCCGGCTCGTCGCTTCGCCTTTAGAGGATCACGGTCCCTCATCAATATGTGTACGCTTGTTATATATATTTATTTTTCCGGGGCAACCAAACGCAATCGCACATGTTGGCAAAAATTTATCAAGTGCCTCGATCGACGGCATTGACGTAAAGAGCGCTGCGAATTGAATCTTTATTAAGCTTGTTGTTATGACACGCGTCGCGTTTCGTCGTTAGATATTAATGTGAGACATAAACACTACAAGAGCGACGTCAAATTTTCTCAGAGTCTATCGACGAAACCATTCCTTTCCCTCGATATGGAGTTTTATCAGTCGATTGCATTTATCATGGCAACTGCACTATGAGCAATATCTCAAGAACACGTTCAAAAGCTAGCTTAATATATTATTTACTAGTAATTAGTAATTTATTTATAAATATTTTAACAACAAAAGACATTTAATTAATTTATTTAATTTATAAGATATTTATTTAAGACATATAATTAATTCATTTAATTAATGAGATATTTATTTAATAATTTATAATCATGGAGATATGCTGAACAGTCCATCGGGAGGACTCGAGGTTTATAGAGATGAGACACAAAAAATTGAAAAATTTTCCATCAAAAATCGCCCGTGTATAATTGGCGTAAGCGGACGAAAATCGAAAAGGCGGATTAATTGATCGATATATCGGTTCTGTTCGTAATTGATTTCACTCGGATTCTCCGAATTTTAATCTTCGTCGCAGTGTCCGATCGTATTTATCAAACGAGACCTTTCACCGGTCGCGTCACCGTGACACATGTCGCGACCGATTCCGAGCGCACGCGAGGAAAAAGTGCCGTGGCGACAGTCCCGGGTCAGTTGAGCGCTAATTTATTGGAATGTTTATGTGTTTCTCTCGCCGCCTTATCTCTCCGTGCACAGAGAGTGTATATCGTAAAGGAGGAGAAGGAAGAGAGGGCGCGTATAAACCTGATCACGTCTCTTGCTCGCGATGGAAAAACGCATTAAAACGCGTCGACGTTGAAAATATGCATACACGCAGCGCGTTACGGAGATTACGGGGTTAATTAAGATTTGTTCTCGTCCAAACGATCTCGTAAGCTATCGCGAGAAACACTCCGCGAGTATTCCATTTGTAAAACACTGTTTCGTCGACGTTAAAACAGTAATCGCGTCGCGTCTACTCTGCATAAGGTTTCAACGCCGAGGAGATAAATAAAATTATGAGCACGCCACCTTCTTCGTATCTTCCGCGAGGATCTTTCGTAGAATTTTTATCAACTTATTAAAGGCCACCCTCGCAAGGCGACGCGCGCCATGATTATTTCGCTCGAGCTGCTTTCACCCTTCTTGCGAATGGGCTCTCCCGAGATAGACTCGATATTGCGGGTTATAAGTCGATGGCTTACAGATAGCGTCAGTCTCTTTCGGCAATTATACAGTAAAAAAACAGTTTCAACGAAAGTAAAAAATTCTTGGCTTGTTTGCATCGAGATGCAATTCATCGCTTAATTAAATGGCCGCCCCTTATCACGCGCTAAACCTTCAACACTCGTAATTGGACGATGACAAATACATTAATTCGAAAAGTATGATTACTCGAGACTTACCCATTGAAGGGATAACTCGCGAAAGCAGCGTCGTAAGGATGATACACCGAAGGATAAGGCCATGCCGCCGCAGCTCCAGCGCCGAGATTTTCTTTGAGATCCAGACCAGCAGGCTGCAACAACGTAAACAAACGAATAAACATCTGAATATTCAATTTTGCGATCGTTCAATATCATGAATAAAAGTGGAATAAAAAACTGTAATTAGCGATCGATTAGCGGCATTGATGGTAACGCAAATAGCGCGCATACACACATACACACATGCCCGTTTTCATAATTACAATATACGTATCTAAATCGAAGGAGTCGGTCGGACATATCTGGCTCGATCGCAAAAAATAAGATAGATCGCTATCTCTTATAGCGTGATTCGCACGCTAATTTGTTACATGAACAAAATAATCATCGCGTATCAGATACTTGATGTCGAGAAGTGCAATTTTTTTATGCCGTTTAATTTTCTCAGAGTAATATACTTTTTTGTATGCAATATGAATGTAAATGATATCGATCGATTTTCGCGGCGCAATCGCGGATTTATTCCGGCATCGGGGAGAGTTTCTACGTGTCCGCGTTCACCGATCATTATAATTATCGCGATTTTAAAATGAAATCGCGCAGAATGCGGTTAATTGCCCGAGAGAGATCCATTTTTAGGAACGTCGCAATTAGTCCATAACATCGCAGCTCAGTTCGATCTTTCGATTGGATCGACCGCGATGATGAAAGAATAGCCGAGCGCTGATAATAATAATTAGGATCGATGTGTGTGGCTCTCTGTTGTTTGCTTCTGTAACCTCGCGACCTCGATTATACGACAAAAGATGGTCGCTATTAAATTTCTGCCATAATTCATCTAGCGGTGGTATAGATTCATAAAGGGCTCACTGTTTTTCTCTCTTTCTCTTTTATGTAATTACAGACACTTATCATACAAACAATAATATTTTAATTATATTTATACTAATCTTCATTGATATGAGACGACCGAAAGATAAATGAATAAATGAGAGATCTTTATGCGCAGTAACGTATGATGATCTTTGAAAAATCGGCCATGACAGGAATTAAACGAACTCACGATCTTCAGAATCTCACGATCGAAATAATTACCACAAACGGAAGCAATCATTTTCGCTAAAAAGTGATACTCGATAGCTTTATGCAGAGGAGGTTATCATGAACGCTACCTCTATGAAACTCGCGACCTGTACGATCTGCTGCCTCGTTACGAGCAGACAATACACTATACATTCGCCCCTTGTCCTTGGTCCACAATCTTGCCTTAAGTGACGGAGTCGTAAGAAATTAATCAACCACAGTTTAATGTGAGAAGAATAATTAAATACGATTGGTTAGTTTCTTACGACTCCGTCAGTTAAAACAAGATTGTGGACCAAAGGTTAAGTTGGATTATAAAGAGCGACGAGCAACACACGACAGTCTTAGGGCAGGAACGAATCTATAAATTCGCCGCTATTTTCTTCCGCGTGTGACACTTGTTCTGGGTTCCGCATCGACATCGCGAATCAACGAGAAGCGAGGCGAAAGTCGATCGGCAAGTCGCTTTGCGAAAAAAGAAATCCGAATCGGTTTCATCTCCTAAATAAACACGAGCGCTCGGCGCGAGAGCTCGAGAATCGTGAATATAAAGATTCGCGATTTAATCCGCGCGCTCGGCGATACAGAAATATAGAAGTCCGCATCGCGGGATTTAATCCGCGCGATAAAAATTTTACGGGCGAATATAATGCCGCTACTATTGCCGACTCGGCGAGCGTTTATCGATATTGGAGAGCCGCATCGAACCGTTTCGATGGTAGCATGCAGGAACGCGGAAGCGAAGATAGAAGCCTCGCATCCCGACGTTCCAACGGATTCGCTCAGACTTGCTTCAGACATTAACCTCTTGCACTTTAACGTCGAACGCGAGTAGCATCCCCAAGTGGTATCCGAAAACCTCATGTTGCATCTCCTCTCATCCGGGTTTGAGGGAACTCTTATGCGCACAACGTGTACAAGAACGTAACGTTTACACAAGGAATGTAGAAATATTAATATAATAATACATATAAAGGAGCCAACAAACACTGTTTCTCATGACATTTATTTGATATTATCTCGACTATGAATGTTGAGAGTGTTTAAGTCAAAAAAATTACTTTCTTCTTATACGAATAAATATTCGATACGCAACGCATTATTATATTTATCTATCATCACTTTAAAGCTTCTAAATACGCCGTCGAGCATTTTAGCCGACAGTTTGCTCTTCATTATACAAGTGAATGCGAGCAAGTGAAATTAATTTACTGCATCGCTATCTACGAGGAAATAAGTTGGATAATGGAAAGTTTTCTCGATTACACAATTATCTCGATTATTTGCTAGCATCGTTGTACTGGAATTTCTGCTCGCAAATATTTAAACATATGATATGGAGAACGAACAAGACGAGTTTACAGCATAAATACGTTACATTATGAGAAATATTTGTGCTAATCTCCTTTTTAGTTGTTTCATTTAATGCACTGCACAAATGTAGAGTTAGAATTCAGAGTTTCCGGGTGCATTATCGATGGAATCGTAAAAATCGCGATACTCTTAGTTTCACGAATTATTTTAGTCGTGCAGCGATATTATCTCTCTTAGGCCTGTCGACATATAACGCTCTTTATACCGCGAAGGAATTCTAGGGACCAAGTTACATCTCGATACAATAAAATATCGCTATAGTCGAACGCTTTATCACTTATGGCAATTGAGTTATAAGAAATATACTCATATAAAACTGTATGACATGAACAATATTTTCTCTTATCTGAATAAAAAGTATCTAGATATAATCATTTGCATATAAAATTGCTTTATTTTCTCTTTACTTAGATTATTAAAATAAATATTTTCATCTTTATCTGTAATAAACATGTATCGTTTCTTCAAGTCATTTAAGATAATGTTTAATGAGTTTAATTTATGCAAATACATTTTTACAGAATTTTAAGTATCATATTTTTTTAAAGAAATTTAAATTTTAAAATATCTGATTTTTTTACATACATCATCAGCTTGCTTAATTGCTGGCAAGTATATGTAGCAAGAATAGCAGAAATAATTTACAAAATGATATCTTTATGAAAAATTCTTATCTTCAGGAAATAAGGATTCAAAATAAAAGCATGAACATACTGTTTTATATCCTAAAAATTCTTCTTTAAAGAAGAATTTCACCAGCGTTTTATTTTTTTCACTTTAACATACTTAATCTTTATTTAGACGATTTCCAGATTATCCAAGTGGAAAAAAAATTTTTAAATATCTGATTGTTTTATATACATCATCAGCTCGTTTAGTTATTGGAATGGCAAGTATATGTAGCAAGAATAGTAAATAATTTATAAAACGACACCTTTATGAAAAATTCTTATTTTCAGATAAGGATTCATAAATGAAAGCATGAACATACCGTTTTATATCCTAAAAATTATTCTTTAAAAAAGAACTTCGCCATACATATCTTGATCTAAATAAAATTCTTAACAAGCGCTTTATTTTTTTCACCTTAATATACTTAATCTTTATTTAGACGATTTCCAGACTATCTAAGCGGGAAAGAGATGTTGGAAAAAAATCTCCCACGCTTACGATCATATAAAGTATTATAATAAAACCGGATCTCTCGTAGAACGATTTCGCTAAATTCAACCCTTTTTTTAATCTTTCTTTAATCAGCAAAATATAAATTATCCGATAAAGCGAATCGACTCACCGTAGGCGTGTAAAAGGGTGCTTGTTCGGCGCCCAGGCTGGGAAAGTACGCGGCCATACCCTCGGAGGCTGCGGCCGCGGCCGCGGCCGCGTACGGCGCGCTGTACATGGAGAGCGCGGCCGTGGGCAGACCACCTAGACGCTGATAGCCACCCAGCAGCTCGTACTGACACGAGCAGACGGTCTGGCCCGTCAGCGGATCCGTAAAGATGGGCCGTCCGGTGTCGCAGCATCTGGCGGCGGGAGCGCCGGCCGACGGCGGCGGGTGACCTTGGGAAGGACTGACCGAGGCGGTGGGACTCCCGGACGGTCTCACGATCGCGCTCGTCACCGCCATCCTCGCTTGCGACAGACCGGCTACGTCCAGGGGATGATTCGTCGTCGTACCGGCGGCTACGCTGCTCACCAGGGACGTCCCGCCCGCGTTCAAGATCGCGACCGTCGGCGGCGAGGCCGAGGACGACGCCAACGACGAGCTCACTGTCACAGGACACTGTAACAGACGGAGAAGCTTGATCGATACGCAATTTAGATTTTGTTTTCTTCCAATATTTCTTAGAATTGAACTGAACTCTTAAAAACTTTTTCACAAGCTCTAAAATTAATCACATGTTATTACATTAAAATTTTATTTTAATTAAATAGATTGAAAATTTATATTTGAAATCAAATCTTTCTAAGTATTCTCTTTTCCTTTTAAATTAATTTCTAATTACAATTAGAATTAAATAATAAATTTATGAATTAAAATTAGGAAATTTTTTTATTCTACATCTAATTCATTTATTTATTTGATTTTCATAAATATTACTTAAATTTAAATATTAAAATATTTCGCTCTTTTGGATTCTCTAGAAACGTAAAATTTTTCCGAGACTAAATTTCTGCGAAATTAGATGCATCTCGCTAGACATTTGACGTTTCGATGCATCAAAATATCGACAAAGTTTTACAATGCAGCTGACATGTCGTAAGAAAGCCAAAGACTATCCCCGTTATGCGCTCTGAAAAGGTGAACGCGATCGCATCACATCAGTCCCTCTCCACCTCTTTATTTCCACAGCTAAATCGAAAATCTACGGGCCCCGAGCGGCATAATGCCGGCGGGCCTCATTAATTCCATATCAAACACTACGGCTAAATAGATTAGCGGGTTGAGTGCCTTTCGCGCCCGGGAACCTAAACAAACCCTCCGTGAAATATCCCTACCCCGGGAGAGACGCTCCGCTCCCCGCGATTGTTCCAGCCATCCATCCATCCGTTGCCTCGTTTCGGCGGCCCCAAACATATTGTCGAAACCCCCGTATGCATTGTGTCGGGGCGAAAAACCCATGCGCGATGCGCATTATGGCGTCGAGAGAGAAAGAGAAAGAGAGAGACAGAGTCGCGTTAATGCGTGTCCTCGATGCGTCTCGTCGATGTTTCGAGGGCCAACTGTCGCACGATGGTCAAACGCTTGTGTGCGTGTCTACGGTAAATAACGTATCTCCGCCACGTTTCGATCGAGGCACGACCAGGCATTTCGATCGGCGATAAAGCTAATATAAAGTAGCTCCATTATAGAATTCCTAACCAATAAGCAGGAGTGTGCCTTCAAATTATAATATCTAGTTTCGCATCAACGTTTGTTTCAACAGTGAGAAAAAGTATCGTCGATGAAAGCGTAATTTTGCGAAAAAAGAGAAACCTTCGATTTAAAAAAACATACGATCGACATTCGCTTAAAGGCGAAAGAACCGGTCCCTTCGCATAACCATACATCGACCGTTCCCTCCTTCTCTCTCTCCCCAGAAATCGTAAGATTCCGGGGAGTTCGAGGGAAAAGCCGGCAATGGCAAGAATGCGCTCCGGGACTCCGGATCGGGCAAAGGGTTAAACGACGAAGCGTGTTGGCGAGTGTCCGCGACCACGGGTCATAATTCAGTCCTAGTCTCCGAGAGAGGAAGCCAGGCGCGTCGGAGTCGGGAGTTACTGGATGCGATCGCATCGAAGCTCCGCTTGCCAACCGTGCAAGCCCGAGCCGGCAACTATATCACCTCTGCAAGGTGTCGCGTAATCGTGTCTTGTGATTTTTTTTTTCGCAAACGAAACTTTGTAATTTTTTTTATCGGACTTGTAAAGCGATGAAAGATACAGGGAGATTGCATATTTTGAAAAAGATCATTATTATAGAATAAAACCAATTTTAATTCTTTTATTATTTTTACTTTCCGCTCGACAACTATTATTTTATATAATTTTAACCATTTTCTTATCGAAGCTACATAATTGATATTATGTATGAAACATTTTTTATTAAATATAGTCGAAAAACTATTATTTATTAAATATAGTCGAAAAACTATTATAAAAAATTAATTTAAAAATACAAAAAAAATTATATAAGAGCGTTTTTTTTGGACTGAATTTTTGGATATGAATTCTGGCATCACTAATTATTGCTGTTCTTTTTAAAGCATAGATCGAAAAAGTATTACGCGATGTCGCCCGACTAAAAAGGCATCACGAATTAATAATTGCATAGCGATATAAATTTTTCGTCTCTCGCATTTATCGGAACTTTTAAGTGAACTACATTCGTTACGATCATGGATTGATCAATCATTCTTACGATTAAACGCAGACATCAAGATCGTAGAATTAAGTAGAGAGCTGAGACTTACTCGCGTATCTATACGAAATATTTTTTGGACGTTTTATACGAAAGTTTCGCGTGCCTTTCTTATCATTTCTCGCACTCCAGCGTATTCGTTGAAACTAAAATTGTATCATTCGCGTATCGCGTTCGAATTAATATTTATAGATATTTTAAGAAAAAAACAGAGTGATATCAAGCCCCGACTGAAAAAATAATCGACTCGATTTCGCCTCGAATCGCGTTAATATAATATTCGGGCGTTAATATGAGCGAAAGGATTGCCCTCTCCGAGTGTAATTATGCGTTACTTACCGCCCGAATCCGTGTAAACCTTCGCGCAAACATCCGTTACTCGATACTTATACTATAAAAAAAACCGGTTAGCGATAAAACCGAAGAGGCGTTGTTGCGAGCTACCTGCCGCGAGGCGGGAATTCGTCGTCGGTGAACGTACATGGATATCTGAACATTGCCGGCACTTTAGTGTCGGGTGACACCTTGGAGGAGTTGGTGCGAAAAGCCATCCCGACGAATCGGCCAATGGACGTTGCGTCGTTTCAGGTACACTCGAATATACCTGACGAGAGCCGTTCGCGAAAAACCGATATCGCGCTGCGGAGTCGATGATCGATGATGGATCGTCATCTCCAGCCTGGGAAAAAAGGAAAACTGGATGTCCTCGGATTAAAGCGGTCGTAAATGGGAAGGTAGAGAGGGGAGGGAGTACCTGCCGGGCGACTATAAAGACTAGAGTACTCGACAGCACCTGGTACACGCATCTTACGATTCGTATATGCAGTTGATCACGTCGACGCGATTCGATCGCAAAAAGCGGCGATAAGAAAACATTCGTTGCAAAAACATCGCTTGAAATGCAGCGGATTGAAGAGAATGACAAGTTGACATTTTCTAAAAGATATTCCTAGTTAAACGTCAAACTTGAAAATCTTCCCATACAAGTGAATTTTTACTCGTGCGATATCCGTGAATAGATATATATGGGAATAATTCATATTGAGAAATATCGATATCCGAGCGACATTTGGAGAAAAAGATTTCAACGACAAATATATTTTGTGCAATATGATTATTGTGAATCGAGGACCGTGATATTCGCGAAGCCGATGCTATTTTTCGCTTTTTGATTAAACTGTGATGTAACGCGGGCGACGTAGGGAAATTTATTCGAATAAAATTCGAGAGACGCTATTACGCGAGCGTCGATAAACGAATAGGGAGCCCAGATTGACGACGAGCGGTTACGACGATGCTCCGGGTGTCGGCTAGAGAAGCGCTTGTAAAAAGAAGGCGGATAGAGCGGAGGTACGTCGAATTGGAAACGTACGACGGACCTCCGCAGAGCGACTGCACTTCCAGGATTTATAGGCCATTCGGAAGAGAATCGGTTATCCTGTGGACACAGATGCGCCGGTGTTTGCGCGCGGGGCATTTGTCACGCGTGTCCCGCGAGCGAAAAGGGACCGATCCGATCCTCTTTATGCGTGCCGATGATGCCCTCTTTGCAACGAGGCCCAGCCAAGTCAATATTGACTCCAAGCCAGATTGATGGACCTTCCTCGCGTGTGTGTTTAGGCCACGCAGCACTCACTTATGTTCCCACCCCGCACGACTCGCCTATCCATATTTCTCTTCTTTTCTTTCATCTTCTTCGTCTCCCCTCCTCTTTCTCCCTATTTACTAAATGTTACATTCGAAAAAACATGAAAATCCTCCTCGCTAATTCCATAGTACAAATAACATTTCTTAAACTCGAGATCCGATCGACGAGTCAAATCTTCTTACACAGATTAAGAAAACTCGGAGCTTAGTGCGTGTCGGCTGATTAGTCGTGAACATTGATAAACTATCGTTATAATAAAAATATGTTTAATGATTAAAAATGAAGAGAAATTAAACGAACTAAATTAAAAATTCGAATGTATAAAACAGATTTAATATTCCTCTTAAAAGCGAACTAACGAGTAGCACAAACTTTTGAGAAAAATGTGTACGAGTTAAATTTGAACCAACGGTATAATTTTAAAATGTAATAATTTTTCTCTTATTTCTAAAATCAGTTATTCTTGCAAATTCAATCTGCAAGAATCTTCTATTATTGTAATTTGAAGTAATATTTCTCAATCTCGAATTCAAATTCGATGGATATAAATTAAATCTTTTCACACAAATTGAGCGAACTTGCAGTTTAATGCGTATGGCTGATTAGAAATTAAGCGTGAAATTTAACAAACTAAAGCTAATAAAAATGTCTATGACTAAAAATAAAAGGATGTTAAACGAAATGATTAAGAGCGTATAAAAAAATAAAACTAATTAAAAACGTCGCGAATGTAGGAGATAAATTTAACATTTTTCACCATGCAAATTGCAACGAGCCACATAAACTTTTCAGAAAAACGTTCAGAAATATCTGTGCGAGTCACATTTTAATCAACGAATTTAAAAATATAATGATGTATCTTTCTCTCTCCTTTTCTTTTATTTTTGGAAGTTAGTTATTCTTGTAAATTCAATTTTTAATATTTCTCAAACTCGAGATCAAATTTAATGTAAAACAAATCTTTTTATACAGATTGAAAAAACTTGCAGTTTAATGCGTAACTAAAGATTAGTCGCGAAAATTAATAAATGCTATAATAAGAATATGTCTAATGACTAAAAATAAAAGGAGTCGATAAAAATTTAAATATTTAAATATTTAAAACTAAACGATTGAAAGCGTATATAATAAAACGTAAATAAAACTAATTAGAAACGTCGCGAATGTACAAAACAGATTTAACATTTTTCCTGAATACAAATTGCAACGAGCCGTATAAACTTTTCAGAAAAAA